ATAGTAGTCAACATTTGAAGTGGATCAAAAAAGTTAATCAAAGTTGTTCTAAGAAAAGAACGCATTTTGGTTTTAGGTTTTAGGACAACTCTGATGAAATGTTTTGATCCACTTCAAATGTTGACTACTGTGTTATTAACAATATGAAAGTTATTCTTACGTTTACTTCATAAAAATCAGAAAAGATTTCACAGCAAAAAACAAACAAACAAAAAAAACTTGTCAACCACGAGCTGAAAGCTATGGAAGCCCATTTCCGCCACTGGATAAAAAATAAAAAAGGTAATTGTGACTTTTTATCTCACAATTCTGACTTTTTTCTCATAATTGCATGATACAAACTCGCAATTCGGACTTTTTTCTCAGAATTGCATTGCGTGATATAAACTTGCAATTGCGAGTTAAAAAGTCATAATTGTGAGATATAAACTCACAATTCTGAGAAAATATCAGTCCCCCCCTCAAAATTGGACTTTAACTCGCAATTGAGTGTTATAAAGTCCGAATTGTGAGATATAAACTCGCAATTCTGTGAAAAAAGTCAGAATTGTGAGATTAAAAAGTCGCAACAACCTTTTTAAATTTTTTATTCAGTGGCGAAAATGGGCTTCCATAGAAAGTGGACTTTTTTACAATTATAATAAAACACCTTTTACTTGCTAAAAAGTATGAGCTATCAAACAGACGACAGAAGGCATGCAGTAGATTGTGTACAACAGGTTTTTCTGTAAAGTTTTGATCATGTCGATCATTTGGAAGCCTTAGAAATGTATCAAATACGATACAGTAGGCTTTACAGAGTTAAATCTGCTCTGTAGAGTTATAAAATGCACTCATCTGACAATGAAAATGTGATTGCATCACATTCCATAAGCAATATAAAATAGTTTTTTACTAAAAGTTTCTGGTCACACGTACCCACGGTCCTTGGCGTCAACAGGGGGCAGCACTCTGGGGCCGAGGGCCATGGTGGGTGTGCGGGGAGAGCGTGAGGGGACTGCTTCTGTTGGACTTTCTGTTTCTATCACTGCACTTCTCCGCTTTAGCTGGGCCTGCGAGAGAAAGACGAGACAAACTTAGAAATTAATGTTTTATGTTAGTTGATTTATGCTGGTTTGTCAGCATAGCCACAGACCAATATTAAAAATACTTTACTCCAAAGAAAAATAAATCATTAAAAAAAATCTGTTATCTTATTTTCAACTGAAACCAGAAATCGTTATATAGATTGTTTTAGTAATTAAATCATTTAAAACAATTACTGCTACTAAAAAGGTTGTAAACAAAATATGATTTAAATAAGCAGACAAGAAACCACAAACATCACAATCTGGCTTTGATATAATGCTTAAAAACAACTGTTTTCAACACTGATAAAAAAGTTTCTTTGGCATTAGAATGATTTCTGAAGATCATGTGACACTGAAGACTGGAGTAATGATGCTGAAAATTCAGCTTTGATCACAGGAATAAATTACATTTTAAAATATATTCCAACAGAAAACCGTTATTTGAAATTGTAGTGATATTTCACAATATTACTGTATTTACGGTCAAATAAATGCAGTCTTGGTTAGTAGAAAACTTCATTTTTTTCACTATTGCTACACACAAACTTTTAAACAGTAGTGTATTTCAGATGGATGTGTCAAAAACAGAAACTGGGAGTGTGGTTATGTGAAGGTGTGACTGGTGTTTCATGAGTCACTGCAACACTAAATTTATTATAGGCTTTTTGAAAAGTACAGTCTTTTCAATTCACCAAGCCTAAGCCTAAACCTAACCCCAGGTGGTTTAGTTAGTTAGGCATCCAAAACTGGACATATACCAGCAGGGACATACCATGAGGGCAGAAGGGTCCATCCCAGGAAACACAGGGACTCTCTTGGGCTGGTTTGGGGCTGGAGAGGACGTGACGTCCCGGGACGGTTCCTCTTCTGATTCAGAGTCAACTCCATTGGAACACTGATCTTTCGCATCTGTAACAGATTGCTTTTGTTCAATCAGTCAAAGGTGTGCAGAGTTTTTACAGTTGAGTCACACAGATTTGAAAGGATTTAGGCTGAAAATGTAACATCATGTGACACAGAGTTACAATTCGATGTAAAATGATGTGTTGACCCCACCTGTGGAGTCGCAGAACCTCCAGTCGGGCTGCCTTCCCTCTGTCAGAGCGGGCAGAACGGTTCTCTGTCGGACGGCACGAGACGGTCTGCTGCGCTTTATGCTCCGTTTCTTTCCCAGATCAACCTTCGAACGGAAAACGCTGGAGTCCAACAGAGGAGCTGCAGACTGATCCAGCAAAACACATGCAAAGATATACACAAATACACACATTAACAGGTGCACAATCAGCTATATTATATTATATTAAAAAGATTTTCATTTGATCTTTTCTATTATTTTAGAAGGCAAGAGTATAGTATAATAGATATGAATTATATATATATATATATATATATATATATATATATATACAGTAGATGAATATGAATTCTTAAGACATTTTCCTCTGCTAAGCAGAAAATTCTAGTGGTCCTTATGCATTACATTATATTACTGTAATATATAATAATAAAATCTAATAAAATCGTAACTGAATGGAGATAGACAATATGAATGGTACTGTATATAATGCGTATAAACATATAAATAAGTGAATAGTTAAAAATTTAAGGGGGTCTGAATACTTTCCGTACCCACTGTATATACATGCATGTGTGTGTATTTATACACAGAACACACACATTTATTATGTAAACAGAAACTTTTATTTTGGATGCGATTAATCGCGATTAATCGTTTGACAGCACTACAAATAATGTAAATATAAACATAATATATATAAATAAATTATACAAAAACATACACACACACAAGCAGACATGTCGTAACTGAAGTGTACCTCAAGAACCGGTAGCGCTTCGGGCTCCTCCTGAACTGGGACGTCTGCTGTGTCTGAATCAGTAGATGTATTTCGTCGTCTGGACTGAGTCAGTCTCTGCAAGGCTTTATTGATTCTGATCTGTGTAAAGGGACTGAACAGATAAAAACATGAAATCAACCCACACGTAACTCTACCGAGAGAGAACTGATGTTTGATGCTTTTCATGACCACTAGGAGACAGTCTAAGCTAAACTGATGTCTGATGACTGTTAGTGTAAAGGTAAATACATATAATGCAGTGTTGGGAAGGATAGTTTAAACCAGGGTTATAGTTAATCATAGTTAACTAAACCCATAAAAATCATTTTCTTAATCAAAATAAAATAAATGCTAACTGATCAAAAATATTAAAAAGTATTTTATTGTAGGTAGTCACCAAAACAACATTTCTAATTTTCATTTAGTTTAAATTGATGTAGTAAACTTAATAAAAAAACTTCATAGACATAAAAAAACCTAAAAATAAATAAATAATAATAATAAAAAAAAAAACTTAACATTTAATTCAGCCTAATTTTGAAATTAAACAAAAAAACAAAACAATTATAATAACTGTTACGTATCTTTTAGTTTAAATTGATGTAGTAAACTTAATAAAAAAACTTCATAGACATAAAAAAACCTAAAAATAAATAAATAATAATAATTAAAAAAAAAACTTAACATTTAATTCAGCCTAATTTTGAAATTAAACAAAAAAACAAAACAATTATAATAACTGTTACGTATCTGGTCTATGAACTTCCGTCTGCTAGCCATCAGAGGTCACCCTTTCCATTTTCATTGACTCTCGCACTACACACTGTTGCATATCACCCCGGACTACATATCCCATCATTCATTTCACTGATTGCACACAGCACTGATTGCACACAGCTGTTTCATATCACTCACTCACTATTTAACACTCACTCTGATCCCTTCCCGGGGCCGAGTGTTGTATGCGCTTATCGCCAGCCGTGATAGCTACTTTACAGAGCCCTCATTATCGTCCCAGTCCCAGTCCCAGTCCCAGTCTTGCCCTGTCTGTTTTCTTGGTTTTTGATCTTTGCCTGTGTACCTGGATTTATCCCTCTAGTCTCGCCCTGTTGGATTCCGTTTGCCGTTGACTGACCCTCGCTTGTTTACCGGATTGCCCTTGCCTTGTCTTCTCTATACCTGTTTGCCACACAGCTGTTTCATATCACTCACTCACTATTTAACACTCACTCTGATCCCTTCCCGGGGCCGAGTATTGTATGCGCTTATCGCCAGCAGTGATAGCTACTTTACAGAGCCCTCATTATTTTCCCAGTCCCAGTCCCAGTCCCAGTCCCAGTCCTAGTCTTGCCCTGTCTGTTTTCTTGGTTTTTGATCTTTGCCTGTGTACCTGGATTTATCCCTCTAGTCTCGCCCTGTTGGATTCCGTTTGCCGTTGACTGACTCTCGCTTGTTTACCGGATTGCCCTTGCCTTGTCTTCTCTATACCTGTTTGCCATTGTTCGACCCTGCCTGTGTTTCTGACCTCTTCTGCTTTAAATAAAAGCTTGCACATGGATCCGCACATCTCATGTCTTGTCAGCCCCGTAACAGAAACAAAACTAACACTGTCAAACTACAAGCTATACTGGATCGGTTAGTGTAACATTGCAAGTTATGTAATTCCTTTGATTAATAAAAACAAAATTTAACAAGTGTGGATCTCATGTAGGATGACATCAACCTTGAACACATAAATTTACAGTAATAAAACTATAAAATGCTAATTTATATAATTTCGATATAAGCACGTAGATAAAAAAAGCAGCATTTAACAAAATAGTTTAATAATAACATTAAATATTACATCTTTTTTTGAAACAGTTAATATAATGAATCATCTAAACAAAATTTGCTGAAGTTAGTTGAGGGCTTTTTAGGAGACTTGAGAGTTTTATTATTCCCTCATAAACACATTTGGCTGCAAGACTGTGTACACAGAACATGAAAATACAGCATTATCGTAATTTTGTCACCGGACACCGAGGGAAATTAAAATAACTTGTAACTGGAAAAGCGACAGACACTGAAAAAGTCAGTAGCATTGCTAGTTTTAGTTAGTAGCTCCACAACGCTGCTCTAAATGAGATGCTCAGATGTTCAAAAGACAACTGAAGGTTGATTGTGGCAATGAAAGTGATGAGGAATTATGTTGTAGATATTTCTTACTCATCAACAGTGTCGTTGTTTTCAGTTTGTTCGTCGGTTTCCCCGATGAGATTCTCTGTGTCCTGCTCTGCAACTCCATCCTCCTCGGGTTCACCGTCCTTCAACTGACCCTGAAGGGTTTAATGAGAGCAAACCAACACAGACGTACTTCAAAACTCAGATTACAGTGAAGTCCTGCTGAAAAGAGCAGCTTTATATGTTGGGTTGTGGATGCTGGTGTTGCCACCAGGCTTTTTAACTAGCTAAACCAGCTCCAATAGGAAGACCATGCTGGTTGATCAAGTTACATTTATAAAAAGCTTGCCACCAAACCACCAAAAAAATATTACTATCGAGGTTAAATTTATTGTATTTCAGTTGCAGGGTTATTATAGTTAACCAAAACTAAAGCCTAAACTAAAAAAAAAAAAAAAAGCTTTTGTTTCTTGAAATAAACTTTAACTAAAATTAAGCAAAATATATAAATAAACAAAATTATTTTATTTTAGATATTTGCCAAGGCAACATTTCTAATTTTGATTTAGTATAATGATGTATAAAAATAACTATAATATATATTAAATATATAAATATATTACTAAATATTAATATAATCTATAATAGTATCTCAATTATACTAAAATAGCATTGTTCAGCTTTAATGATTTATTTTTCAGTTAGAAAATTTTGTGCTTATACTTGCAACTTAAACATGCACATTTCACTTTTGTTTAGTTTGTTTTTATAAAATATTTACATTCCAGCTTTATTGCAATTAACCAAAATGTTTTGTTTGTTTGTTGTAGTCTTAGTTTTTAGTTAATGATAATTTCTGTCAGGACCCCTATCGTCAAAGACAATTGACAATTAGCATACAGTTTGGATTGGCGGTAGGTTCTGTTCTGGGCAAGAACTCCCTGCACATCCATGAGAGATGAGAGCAGGGAGAGCAGCGAAGATACTCTTTTGAAATAATGTTAGTGGTCAACTGATACATCGGCTGATATTTGGCATTTCTTAATTATCGGCATTGGCCGGTTGCAAAGGGGCGGAAAATTACTTAGACTTTCCAAAATGTTTTCCAAAAAGTACCTGAAAGTGTCCAAAATTTCTGGAAAGTTTGGGAAATTATCTGGCAATTTTCCTCCCCTAATCGGCCAACACTTTTTTCTGTTTGGTCGATGTGTCAGAAGTGTGAATTTTGTTTTTCATAACAACTGTAACAATTTCATCTCGCATCACAGCTAAGATGCAACTTTGTATACTAGTGCCTACCTTTTTAAAGGAACACTCCACTATTTTTGAAAGTAGGCTCATTTTCCAACTCCCCTAGAGTTAAAGAGTTGAGTTTTACCGTTTTCGAATCCATTCAGCCGATCTCCGGGTCGGGCGGTAGCACTTTTAGCTGTAGCTTAGCATAGATCATTGAATCGGATTAGACCGTTAGCATCTCGCTCAAAAATGACCAAAGTGTTTCTATATTTTTCCTATTTAAAACTGGACTCTTCTGTAGTTACATCGTGTACTAAGACCGACGGAAAATGAAAAGTTGCGATTTTCTAGACCGATATGGCTAGGAACTATACTCTCAATAGCCATACTGGCCTAGAAAATCGCAATGACCAAAGTGTTTCTATATTTTTCCTATTTAAAACTGGACTCTTCTGTAGTTACATCGTGTACTAAGACCGACGGAAAATGAAAAGTTGCGATTTTCTAGACCGATATGGCTAGGGACTATACTCTCAATAGCCATACTGGCCTAGAAAATCGAAATTTTTCATTCTCCGTCGGTCTTAGTACACGATGTAACTACAGAAGAGTCAAGTTTTAAATAGGAAAAATAGAGAAACACTTTGGTCATTTTTGAGCGAAATGCTAACGGTCAAATCAGATTCAATGATCTATGCTAAGCTACAGCTAAAAGTGCTACCGCCAGGCCCGGAGATCGGCTGAATGGATTCGAAAACGGTCAAACTCACAATAAGTTTTCAACGACTTGTTGAAACAATGGTGGAACTAGATTTAAAGGAGTAAAGAAATAGTAGAGGAAACAGCCCTGTTGCAATGACTACATGTATATGATCATGAAAATCGGATTATTATTGGAATTTGGTCATATTCCAATTATGCACCTGTTATTTAACACAACTATCCAAGTGGAATTCATTGGATTTCTTGGTCGTGTAAACAACACCTTATTTGTAATGTTCTATAGTATTGAAATATGAATTGACATCTATTCATTTCCAAACATAAATTATCTATGTGATAAAGGAAACTGTACAAAAGCCTAGAAATAGACTACATGCAGAATTGCTAAAAATGCAGCATGATGCTTAACCAGAATTTGCATGTACATCGGAAAACGATGATGCGCAGCTTTAATTTGAAATCAATTGTAATTTTAAATGGCAGTTAATCACTAGGGAAATTTAGGAGAGGACTAAATGACTGCTCTGCTGTTCTATGAGCACTATTAGAGTCGTCCCGTGATATTTAAGTAACAAGCCATGAGTCATGCAGCAACTACTGAACTAAAACACTCCGTCAAACTTTATACAGACTAATTTCACCATTCAAAAGTTTGCAGTCAGGAAGATTTTTTTGTTAAAAAATTACAGTAAAGCATTTTCAAATAAATGCTGTGCTTTTGAACTTTTCTATTCATAAAAAAATCCTGATGAAAAATGCCTCACAGTTTAGACAAAAACAATAATAAAAAAAATGAAGCAGTACAATAGTTTTGAATGCTGATAATAAGACATTTTTGAGCAGCAAATCAGCATATGAGAATGATTTCTGAAGGATTATGTGACTCTGAAGACTGGAGTAATGATGCTGAAAATTCAGCTTTGCATCAAAGGAATAAATTACATTTTAAATATATTAAAATAGAGAACTTATTTTAAATGGTAATAAAGTTTCACAATATTACTGTCTTTACTGTAATTTTAATTAAATAAATGCAGGCTTGGTGAGCATTACGGACTTGCAAACACATTAAAAAATCTTACAGACCCCAAATTTTTTAAATGTAGTGTAGTGTATGTCTATCTAAAACTTCTGTATACACGCACACACACACACACGCATGTCTGTGGGATGGATGCCATATTCACCAAGTTAATCAAATTCTGTGAGTTTTGAGTGGATCAAGACCTGTCATGACCGCCAGAGATGCATGTAGGTAAAAGAAGTTCCAAAATGAGAGGATAAGCAAATTTACGAGTGAGTGAAAACAAGCCTAGACAGCTCGAGATTCCGAATAATTCCAGAACGCCTCACATCCTGTTTAACAGTATTTGATGTGAATACACTGACTCGTGTGTGTGCAGTGACAGGAATTGGATTCTATTGAATAATAATAATATCTCCCTGCATCATTGCTGAATGAAATCCAATACTTGTTGTTTCTTACTACTTTTTAGGTGCCGATTCCAAACATAGTGTCTGTTTTACACCTTCTCACGAAATACGATGCAGTTTGTAGCATTTTTGCTTTTCGACAAAATTAAGTTTTGTATTATCCCTAAATCAAAAGAAAAACTGCACAAAGACATGATTCATTGTCTTTCTCTGAGACAAATTACAACTGTTTCTTCAATTCTCAGCTCATTTTTTAATGCATGAATTATTCTAAAGACATTATGTCATGCCTAATCTTGATTTCAAGGTGAGAATTGAGGCCAGTGACAGAAAAAAAAATGCAAACATGACCAGTTTTACTACATCCAAAGTGCTTATTTCTTTGATATTTGAGTATTTGAACTTATTTTTCCATGCCTTTGCAGGTTGTAAGTTAAATTATAAATTTTGAATACTTATTTTTGTCATTAAAGCTGAATGGATAGTTTTTATTGATATTTTTGCATCACCAAATTAGGCAGTGTTAGACCTTTTTAACCATTCAGGAGTTATTTTTTTTCGGAAAAAAATCATTTTAGTCTCAACACCAAATCTTTCACAAAACGTAACTTTCCAAATAACATTTCTGCTTTATGCATATTTTGAGAGCATGCAGTAAAAACGGATGTTTTGTAACGCACTGTTGAAGACCTGTCAAAGAAAGTGCAATGCCTTAAAGATCAGCTGATAGAGCAAGAAGCAACAGAAGAAAGCGAGCAGAAAATATTCAGCATAGTCTTACATTATTTGAGTTTGCCGCAGTCGTGCGTTTGCGCTGGGAAAAACGCTGCTGGCTTTGCTGAGAGAGATTTCGAAGGGACTGTCGACCACGAGCCGCAAAACTTCTCAGTGGTGAGATGGCCCTCTCAAACCTTCCCACTTGTTCTTCATCCTCCTCTTCCTCACGCTCCAGAGTGCCCGACATCAGCTCCACCGCCTCCTGTAAGGAGCGACGCATGTTGCCCACCCATCCCGACACCTGCGTCTGCGCCTCGGACAGTTTGTTACCCAAGAACTGCATCTTCTTTCACCCAGTTGACAAAATATGGTATCTGGTGGAAATCGATTATTTTTGGGGGAAATAAATCCCAGATATGAGGTCTAGAGGGCGTTATAGCCAACATGCATTGGCATCTCAGTAGGCATCTTGATTTGTGATCCAAACTGGACCAGACTTTACGCCAATGTCCATCACAGAAAACACTTCAGGTTGTCAATCAATCCTTGATGCTCTTCCAGCACGTTCTTCCGCAACACACACATTTAAAGTCAATCCATTCTCCAGTTGATCTCCTCCGGTGAAATCTTCTTGTTTAGATGAGGTAGAAACACAAATTTGGGAATACAGTCTTCTGACATCCAGATATTAAAGTCTCATAAGCTTCCTCTTGTGCAATTCTCACAGACTCCAATGGAAAAAAAACATAGCAGCACTCCGGCAAGCCCACCGCTTACGCTTGACACGCTGCAGGTACGAACAGGTACCGGAAACAGACACAGCCCTCAAATGAGTACAACATCCCGGCTCAGAGAAACAGCGAGAGAGAAAGGGGGAAGGGATGAAAGAAGATCAAGGACATTCATGTGTCACTGCATTTGAAATAGAAAAATACAGACGGACCGAGAGAGAAAACAGGAAAAGGTTTTATGTGGGAACCTTTCTGTATCAGTGAACTTTGGAAGAGAAATGCTAAACCACAAAACCCTTATGCAAACCACTGCT